CAATTGTTGGCTAAAATTAACGAGTCCCCTACCTCCTTGGATGGTCCTCCGTTCAACTGACCAGTAATTGTGGAACATGGTCCATTCAAGATGAACGTGTCATCGCCTCGACCCGCTTGGAAAAACTTTTCTCCGTCACCCACAACAAACACAGAATCTCTGCTGTCCTCACTGTCTAGCAAGATCTTGTCCTCGCCATCCTTCAAATCGTACAACATGAATTTTCCACTCCCCACTAACCTCTCAATACCTACTGCACCCTCACACAAGAATTCGTAAGATGACTCCTGCCTCGAAATCCGGTCCCCGGCGAACCGCTCACTCCCCGGTTTGCACGAATATGAGAAATCCGAAGGCAGCAAATGATCTGGAGCCCATCTCTCCAAGAAAACGTTTCTCTTGGTTGTGAAATCAACAAGATTATTTTGCACGTCGTACCCATCGAAACTGTGTTCCGGGTCGGGATCACATTCACAGTAATACTCTTTGTACGTGCCGGAACCCCAGGTCCTGTAGTCTTCTTCGTGATAGGTGCATGCCAGCCCGATCCCGTCGCACGCCTTGCCACTCCCCTTGCCGCAATACCATCTCCCCCCGTCCCACGAGTTTACCAGGCTTCCAATCACATACGTGTGCTTTTTTTCTTGAAGGTGACAATCCCCCTCAGGATTTAGAAGAGTTTAGGAAGGGAACACTTTACCGATCCATTCTGAATTGTCCCGTAACCAAGACACGGTTGCATTTACGACGATATTGTTCACCTTCTTGGTGTTGATGAGGTCGTCCAAGTACAGGCTATTGTCAGCCCCACCCATATATCGCAACCCTTCCTCAACCTTCTCATACCCGAGGAGAGGAATCTCTTCGTTCAGCTCGTTCACGTGGTTCACCGTTTTGTATACGGAGACAAACAGGGTCGTCACGATGTTAACTATTAACGCCACGGCAGCCAAGACGGGTGCAGCGGGGGGAAAAACGATCGATAAAATTGCTGCCGTCGCCGTGACGGCGATATCGATCGAGTCCGCGATAATGTCCGCGACGGCGTCGTTCTGCTCGTATTTCGTAGCGTTAGGATTGTTCAGGGCTTTTACGGAGTTTGTCAGTGAGTAAATGCTAATCCCGATATCTGCCACGGCTCCGATCGGACCGGCCGCTTTGCCAATGATGGAAGACATTTTTGAACCAATTTTTACCGCCAGTTTTGTACCCACCTTCTTAATTAGGAGGGAACCAGCTTTTTCTAACGCGTGAAGCCCTACGTCCAGACCTATCCGGCCCCCCATGATTTCCAGTGAGGTGTAGTCCCCATGTCGTAACGCTGAAACGACCCCTTTTGCCAGCATGACTTTCCCATACGCGCCGCCTACCTTTTCGGTATTGGATGTAAATTTGGACAGTCGCTCGGCTACGCGACTGGCGCTAACCTTGACGCGCTCGTAGTTGGATATGCTCTTTGCAGTGAGGGGAACCCCACTGCCACGCAGGGCTCTGGAGAGGGAGTTCTGATTAGCATGGATTTCTAAGAGTTCTTGCTGTATGAGGGCCTTAACTTTCCGGACTGATTCGTTATCTCCGGTCAACTTGGCCTTGTGCTTGCTAACAAGTTCCACCACGGTTTCTTTGTGCTTTATCTTATCAAATTCTATCTCATGCGAGGGGACCGATTCTAAATAATCGGCCAGTTTCCTACTGTCAATAGCAGTAATTTCTTTACCATCCTCGATAACTTTAGGTTTTGCAAAAATGCTTTCTTCTTCTTCACCGATTTCTTTCACTTTCTCCTCGGGATGATCCGCATCTTCGACGAGGAAGACGCAACTGTCTCCCGACTCTCGGTATAGGTAGGCCCTCGTACTGGGGCTGCACGACAGGTTTGGATTGCTGTGTGTGGGATCACCAGAAGCTGCAGGATGACAACCTCTAGCCCTTTCCTTTCGCTCCACGTGCGCATCCACCTCCTCCCAGAGGGCGCTAATTTCGATTCCTTTATCAAGATCGTGCAAATCAATTAACTCCGTAACCTCTTCCTCTGTCAACCATCCGAACCGTACATTCGCTTTTAACCAATTTTGCAGTCCCTTTTTATACTTGGGAAAATTAGAGCGGAAATAGTTCTCGTACTCGGTTATGTAGAGGGACATGACTCCCTTGAAATTCTTCTGTTTCAAGTTGTAAACCACATTTGCGGTCCAGTATTCTCCATATATTTTTTGCATTTCTTCAAGATGAGCAATTTTCGCATTAACGTCAGGACTTGTTGGCTTTCCGCGAGAAGCTTTCTCCTTCCAGGAATTGTACACAGCTTCAAAATTTTCCTCCCACATTTCGTAATAGTCGACCTCTTCACCGATGGGACTCTCAAAGTAGCTAAATGTGATCAAAATTAGTTCGAAATTCGTGAAATAATAAAACTTATCTAAGTTTGCGTACCCTTTTTCCGCCCCCGTTTTCATTGCTTGTATCCATTTTTCCTTTAATTCCTTCATCACGGCTTCCGCCGCGGTTGCATCGCGGGTCAATAAATCTTTTATTTTTGCTGACGAACTAAAGTCCGGAGTCGTTGGGAAATGTTTATGTTGTTCGACTGGAATACTTAGTACGGCCATTTGATCTCTGATTTTCTCTTTATACTTCGCAATTTTTTTTATTTATAACCACCCCTTCTTCTGGAGTTGTCGCCGAACTCAGTTCAGCCCTCAGTTACACCGTATTCGCAACTATATCCTTCAGCTTGTCCGGCAAATTTGGAACATTTTCGAGGAACCGCATATTCGAGGAGGCTGGTGCATGGTCAGAATCAATTAGGCCGGCTTTCGATGCGACAGCCCGAACTGACCTGTAGGAGCCCCCGTGCCCAAGTCCGGCCTCGTAAGCAGGCCCAGATGCGGATTTAAGGGACTCTCTGTAAGCCTGCAACTCCTTGGATGCGTCAAATAAGGGTGGTGGGTTGGCAACGACTGGTTTCTTTGCCCCCTTTCCTGCCTTCTTCAATCCCAAGGACGGCTGGCTTTTACCACATTCCAATCCTGCGAGAATGACGAGTATCCAACTTGTCCAGTGCCACAGCTTCATGGCTGTTTTTAGGTCACAATTTTTATTAAAATTATGATAAATTCCAAGGTTTTAAACATTTCCAAGAAACATGTCACATTTTGAGAAATTAACTCTTACCGGAAGAATTAAACTGTGCCAATGAATGTAGGGTAGATTTTTGAGTCAAAACCTACTCCGATAAATATTTAGGTTTTAATTAACAATTTCAAAAGTTAGCGTTCCAACTATCAATATCTCAATTTGAACGAGCCCAATGACTTTGACTTGGAATCACAAACTTTACGTACAGCCACGCACACGGCTGATGTGCAATTGATGGATGGAAAATAAGACATAATTTATCTCGCAAGGTTTCTTATTTGTATAAAACTCGACTTTAAATAAAAAACGTTGCACTTCCTTGAGAATGGAAGATTTTGTGCTTCATTACTGATCTGTTGGTCGTATCTGCTAGATGCGAGACAGTCGGGGTGCACGCGATGTTGGTGTTTTGGGGTCAAACATTTCGGGTTACAACAAATTTTCGAACTTTGCAAATATTTAGCAAATAATTTTGCAAACATTTTTTCCCCGGAAATTTTATCCTACAGGCTCCGCAGAGTAATTTTGAACTATTTCTCACTTTAATAACTCTGGCGGCAAATATAATTTCGACCACATTTTTCCAGGAAAGTTGGGAAATATTATCAATTGGGAGTGTGCAAAATTTCAGATCTCAAATAATAATTTAATTCATATGTAATAAATATTTTCACTTTATCATTTGGCGCTAAAAATAAAAATTTAGTACAGAAATTCGTTTAATTATTAATTCTAAAAATGCGAAACGGAAAAGTAACTTATAGTTATATTTTCTTGGTACATTTAAACTAAATTTTTGAAAGTTTTTATTTATTTCAAAATAAAAATGTTTGATTTTAACGCCACATGATATGGTGAAAATATTTAATATTTTTTGTATATGAATTAAATTAGCCGTAATAGCCGAATCTGATAAACTACCAGTTTAAAATATTATGTAGCGATGTTCGACCCCAAAACATCGCGTTCACCCCGACTGTCTCGCATCCAGCAGATACGACCAACAGATCAGTAAATAAAAGAATTACTTATGTACTGCAGGATTTATTATCTATCAATACAAATACATTCATCAAACAAACTCATTCCATAAAGTAAAAATAAATATGTCGTAGATCGGACTGCGTTTCAAAATAAAAGAATGAAAATTCACTGCAATATTAAGTGGAGAAGAATGTGATTTTTTTGCCTCCTCTGGAAATAATCTCAGAAAAGGAGACATAATGTCAACATGAAATGTACACATGTCCGAGTTTTGTGGTTTGGCGTGCCACGTCTGGACTGCATGTAAGTAAGATGTCTGTCTGGGTCTCGTTTTTATCAGAGTCGCAACGTAAATAAAATAACTTGATTTACTTCGTAGCAATATTTTCTGTGCGTTCATAGTTCACATTAGCAATGTTAACCCTTTAATTCGTATGGAGGACAATTGTCGCTTTCTTGGAAATGGATTAATTCGGGGGGAAGACAAAAGTCGTCCTGAAAATTTGTGGTCAAGGTGCGGGAGGAGGACAATTGTCTTTTCCGGAAGGTCATTGATTTTCGCCGTTTTCTCTCAAAAATGAAAATTTCAAAAATGAAAATAAAAATGAAAAGGATTTCTTCTATGCCAACCAAATGTAAAATGTGTACATTTTCTTGCCAAAAATGGGATATTTCCCAATATAACGCAATGTTAAATTTTGGATTTTTCAGTTCTTTCGAGTTTTACTAAAACTGCTAGATTCCTCCTCCCGCGCCATGACCACAACATACGTGTAATGTGCCCGAATTAATGCAATTTCTTCTAGTTAGTCACACGTCTTAAAGGGTTAATGTAAGTAAAGAATTATTGTAATAAGTTTGTTCGGCATTAGATGACATCGTTTAACAAGTTGATTTATTACAAATCTCAGCGAGTTTCACAAACTCTTTAGACTTGGTTAGGCATAACAAATATGTTTGGAAAATCTCTACATTTGTATTAAACAATCTTTAGACCTTAATGTTTGTGAAAATTAAAGAAATATATACATGGATAATATTGAAATTAAAAATTTTTTTTTTTTTCATCATTGCACTAGTACATGCATAACTGTGTGTGTGAACAGGGCCCGTTTAAGGGTCAGGCAGCCTAGGCACCTGCCTAGGGCGCAAAGCTGGGAGGGGCGCCGTCAGGCACCCGGCCTTACACTAGAGAAAAACCAGAAATTGTGGATTTCATATTGCTCAAATGTAAAGCTACAAAGGCTGGAAAAAATAAAAAAAAATAAAGCAGATAACAGCTAAATTGTAATAATTTTGTCGGTCGAAATCTCTAACAGATCCAACATAATTTTTGTTTCCCACTGCTTTAAAAAATATGGAAAATCTTGGTCAGGCAACATTATAGTACTGGTATTTTTAACTGCACGCGTTCATCATTTTTAATGCATTGTCTACTCAAAGGGTACAATATAATTTCCTTACGGAAATGTAGAAATAAATTCTTTAAAAGAAGCTTAAGTGAGGCTAGCTTAAAAGGAGAAAACAAGCTGTTATCATTGTATCCTAAAATAATGTGCCAAATAAGTGTTCATCTCCCGGTTTATAATTTTCGGTAAATACGTAACCCAGCAAATAATATGCATTTGGACCAGTTGCCTCACCCTAGGCTAGAAATATGATTTCTTGATTGTCATAGTTAAATAATAATATGGAAAATATATAATAACTAGCCTTCGTCACTATTTGATTCTAATGTAATTCCGAATGACCGACATGAAAATATTTCAAAAATTTAGTTTAGCTTTTTAAAATTCAGTATTGAAATAGTCAACAGTAGTGAATTAAAAATTCACGGAGGATAAATTAGATTATTCTTAGATAGTCAAAAAATTCGAAAAAATTATTGTTCAGTATAATATATTAACTAAGTAACAATAATTGGTTTACTCAAACCCGTTTGTTTTGTTTTAAATTACAAAGCTTAAACTTTATTTAGTGGGGGACTTATATTTAGCTTATATTTTATAACTAATACTCATTTAATAACTTATATTCGATCTAATATTACTTGCATTATGTGACGTAAGTTATATAGCCTGCTTGGCCAAGACAAAGTATCATCTCTATTGGTAGGTATGATGGAAGCTATAACTTTTGGTTACAGAATGGCAAAATATTTGAAAATCATAATAAAATAATAATTGATATCCCACAAGCAAAAAATCTTTGGTTTGTGGCATCAAGTCCGGGGTACGATTTAAGTTTTTGGTTAGGAGGGGAGCTTCAGCACTTGCCACTCACAGAATGGATATGTTGTAGTACCCCGTGAGTTTACTAAAACCCTGAAACGTTTGACTCCATGGCCACATTTACGCCCGCCACACCCATTCAAAGGTGCGAAAAACACGAAAAATACCCTGTTTTGGTTCATTAAAAAAATGCTTAAATTGCGGAAATCCGACCAAAATTGCATTTTTGGTGAATTTTTGAAGGTGATGATTTTCGGGTTTCTCGCACCTTTGAGTGGGTGTGGCGGGCGCAAATGTGGCCATGGAGTCAAACCGTTTAAAGGTTTTAGTAAACTCATGGGGTACTACAACATATCCAAAGGGCATCGAATTCTGTGAGTGGAAAGTGGTGAAGCTCCCCTCCTTAGTGTAGAATGTCAAATTGATGAGATGCGCGAAACGAAGATAGATAGTAACAGAAACTGCCAGGAAATTATGGAAAACTGTTCACGGGTTTTTGTAATATGGAAATTCTCGGTCACTCACATAGCTCGCAATAAATTGGTCCATGGTCCATGGTCGATCACTACATGGTCCATCAAAAAATTGGTCCCTGGTCCATGGTCCATCGATGGTCCATCAAAAAAATGGTCCATGGTCCATCAAAAAAATGCTCCATGGTCCATCAATGGTCCATCAAAAAAATGGTCCATGGTCCATCAAAAAAATGCTCCATGGTCCATCAATGGTCCATCAAAAAAATGGTCCATGGTCCATCAAAAAAATGGTCCATGGTCCATCTGAGAGTTGCACTTCACACCATCGCATTGTTAGCAGGTACACATGATACTTGAGGCATACAGAGAATAAATATAAATTGCTTAAATGAGCTTCGAATTTGGTTATACCATCTCTAGGAATGGCAATCCGTCGGATCGGATCGGATTATGAGGCCTTCGGATTGATCCGAGTCGGATTGAGCAGGTGTTCGGATCAATCCGATTCGGATCAGACACTCAATCCGATCCGACTAGGATTGCTGGTCGGCTTTCGGATCGGATCGGATCGGATCCGATTATATGAAATTGTACTATTGCATGCATATTATATGTATAATGCAGTCCCTGCATTGTAATATTGCATAATTACTTGGGTATGTAATTAATTACTACTCGACGAGAGAAAATAGGATCACGTCAAATTTTAGTCGTTTACGACCATTTTCGAAAATCAGAGAGTGCGACCATATTGGGTCACTCTGAATAATAATATCGTCGTTATGACATTGTATTTTGATTTTAGTACACAAATGTCCCGAATATAAGCTTTCTATGACCATTTCTATGACCCGACCCCACTTGTCAACCTCTTGACCGATTTTTCTCATCTTCGAAGTTAACTCTTCATTTGCCCCATACTACACGTGTACCAAATTTCAAGTCGATAGGACCAGTTTAACGAGAGTTATAGTGAGACTGGACGGACAGACGGATGGTTGCATAAGCCCTGACTCGGACTAAAAGGCAAAGTTAGCTCCGAAACCCTTCAATTTCCATAGTCGCTAAATTTATTTATTTTTTGAGAATACACATAATTGTGTATACGGGACTCAAGGGATTTTTTCGAATGTCCATGACATCCGTGTATCTGGGACACATGACCAAATTTCAAAATTCCATGACATTCGTGGAATTGGGATTTGGGGAATGTTTTACAATTCCATGACATTCGTGTATACGGGACTTAATTGGGAATTTAATAAATTCCATGACATTCGTGGACTGGGATCCTGAAGGTTAATCATTTGATAACCATAGCTTCACCTAAGAAAATGATAAGTTTATTTTTATGTTGCTATTATTGTTATTATGTGCATACTAGTGCTGCGGCACAACTAGTGTGCGACTTTTGGGGGAATGTGAAATTAAAATCGGCAATCCGAAATCCAATCCGAAATCCGATGACTAGCTTCGGATTGATCCGATCGGATTAACCATGCAATCCGATCCGATCCTAATCCGCGGATTTCGGATCGGATCGGATTTTGTCGGATCGGATTGCCACTCGTAACCATCTCACTCAAACATATATGTGCATGCATATTACTTGAACCCGAACTTAGCACTGACGCTGGGAGGAGGATGTCAAACAGTGTCGCAAGCACTTAAGGGCAGGCATCTTAGGTAAGTAAGTGGATAGGATGGGAATAGAAGAAGCAAAGAGAAAGTTTTAGTATAAACACGCTGGTCATGCTACAAAGGCATGGTTTAATTGGCGGAGGAGAAAATCGGGGAAAGTTGGATAAACAGTGGGAAGTAAGTGGGTTACTGCATATCGGTGACCTACATGTATCTGGTCAGCTTGGTGACAACTTTGTGGTGAATCTCTGCCCTTGGTCGGAGCGAGGGTCACTACGTTTTCATCCAACTAATAGACATTGATGGGGTTGGACCCTAACTCAAAAATGGACCATGCACATTGCACAGCAATGATCATTTATATGCAGGACTGCTATTTTGTGCGTTATTCTATTCTTAGGTCTAATATTGTGAATAAATGAATAATGTGACAATAAATGAGCTTCATCTTGTGTACCTTCAATGAAATTTTTCGTTGAGATGACTAAACCTAAGTTGTCGGAAGGTCGATGTATCCATTTACGGAATGCTGCAGTTACGTTGAAACGCAGCCAACCTTGCTCCCATTTTGCAGTAATTATTTCATCCAACTCTGTCAATTCAAACGACCTGCAATTTCAAGAAGCAAATTAAGTTACTCTGAGCTATCATTACTTAAACGTTTATGAGGATCGGCTATTAATCCAAGCATGTGATACTCAAATAAAACTATAGTTTTGACTGAGACTGGAATGTATTTTACGAACAGAACATTGTGAACGACATCTTTACCGTTGGACCAGTTGATTATTTTCTTCATCCTTCGATCACTATGCATGAATCAAACTAGACCAAGTGTAATGTGCAATATACGCGCAATAAACCCATTTATTGACACAGATTAAATTACTCGCATTGTCTTTGCTGATACGCTGAGAAGGCGTGGTTGATGTAGCATTGTTGGTCATGCGGAAATTCAGTGATAGCGACAAGGTTCCAAATATAATTTCAGAAAACTTCAAAGCAACTAAGGATATATTGTGCGCTCTATTAACAAACTCTGATCACAAAAGCGTAAATTTAATATGAAGTACTGTTGAGAAACTATGAATGAAGTCCTTGACGAAATTTTGAACAGTAATCAAATTTGGAACTTAGTTCCAGACAACTTGCACTGTGCCATTGCAAAAAAGGTCTTTAACTTGAATTTTAAATGCTATCTAGCTAACTTTGAATGAGGAGTCCTCATTGAGGACTTGAATTTGTCAAAGACACTTATTCATCAGAAGCGCATCTTCATCACAAATCTATTACGGAGGCAACAAACCGCTTATTTTTCATCAACAGGTCAAATTTCACAACTGAAATTGTAGCAACTTTACAATTAGTATACCATTGGCGCTTTCATATTGTATCCCTTTAGCATTGTTCACGTGGCAATGATACTTTGCAGAGTTCTTATATATTCCAGTGTCCTGCTTTGCAGACAACCCATGAGACTATAAGAAGGATGCATTCTGTTCTTGTTTGTAACTCTCACCTCCATTATGACCACTTTCCTTTTATCACGCCGCTAAAGTTCCAACAAGGTGATCATGCTTTAAAAGCTTCATGAACTCGGACAACGTTGTCGGGATAATATCTATGGTCAATATATTTATGTTTTGGTGCTATACCTGTCATCTGCCCCAGGCGACACTTGGTGGACAGACACTCGAAAGATTTCACTTGTTGGGTCAGTGTTGACGTCATTTGGGGGATCATTCTTGCCCACCAGAGTCCTTTTCCAGATACGAAGTTCTGCTCCTAAAACCAAGTCCAAATCGGAAACTTCGGAGACATCAAACCAGAATTGTTTATCTTCGGCAAGTTGCTTCAGTTTGTCGGAAAACCTGTGTCCTGCAACAGAAATATGGCGAAATGGTTGTAATTAAGGAAATTAAACCCTACAATTTTATGAAGTACTTGTCCCAAAGTATGAATTACGTAAGAACAATGGAAGTGAAAGTAGTAATAAACGTTCTAATAGTACGGTACCATGACCAGCTGGCTCAGTAATTAGTCCTGTCTGGTCGTAAAAATTCAATATAAATTCAGTTAATTGCAAAAGGCAACCTACTGTAGAGTTGTGTGCCATACATGTATAGTATAAAGGTATCGCATAATATACATTTCGTCGACCTAATTCTAAAAAGCCCTAAGTGCAGTCGATGCTTGATTTTAAAAAGCTTTAGTGCAGTCGATGCTTAATTTTAAAAAGCCCTAACTACACAAAAAACTTCTAAAAAGCCCTAAGTGCAAGCACGTATTTACTTATGGCTAAATCTTGCCAAAACAATTCTTCCTACATCGCCCGATTTAGCCATTAGTAAATATATGCTTGCACTTAGGGCTTTTTAGAATTTTTTTTGTGTAGTTAGGGCTTTTTAAAATCAAGCATTGACTGCACTTAGGGGTTCTTAGAATTAGGTCGACGATATGTATAATATACATATGTATACGCATACCAGTGAAATTTTCAACTTTCACTTTATCATTGCACAGCTTTACTCTAGTCATTCCCAGAGTTAAAACCAACGTATGTAGTTTGCAAAATTTAACAACAGCTTAGGGACGCACGAGTACAGGCTGAGGCAGCTTATAAATACCACTTAAGAATAGCCATAGAAAAAGATTGGATAAGGTGAATGCCGAGAAATTTGAATATGTCGTTGGGTAGGCATTCTACCACTTAGCATAATTTTTTGAAATGGTTTGATTAAAAAATGCCAAAGTGGCACCCATCAGAGTGAACGTGGTTGTAAAAACGCTTTCCAATGAGAAGTACTCACAAACAGACATTGCTAAGAAGTTAAAAACCACGGATTCGAATAAGTAAGATATATTTGTATAATGTGATTCATGGTGACGGAATTCAGCGTGATGCAGTAAACCGAGGTGTACAGAACCACCCCCAAATGAACCCAAAGTGAAAAGGACGAAAACGCTCATTTCTCGCGTCCAGAGGGAATCGAGAAAGAAAACCCCCAAAGACAAAGAGCGATTGCAAAAGTTACGGAAATGGGCACACCGACAATCGGGTAAGTCATTTATCAAGATTTGAACGAAGAAGTTCGACGCAAATCGAAGGTAGACGGCTAGAAGCCATCTCACATTGCAAATAGGAGGACCACTCAAGAAAGCTTTAAACAATCCACCTGGATAGAATTGAGTTTGTTGTCACAATAGATGAGGCTTGAGTCTACCTTGATTACCGCCAGGCAGAACGAAAAATTTGTACGTCGACAAGGGTGAAAGAATTCCAGATAGTTGGGCGTTGCACGGGCGCGAAAGCTACGGAGAGAAGATCATGGTGGTTGGCGTTCTGACTATCGGAGGACCAGTTGATCTTGTCATAGTGCCCCCAAAAGTAAAGATTAATGCAAAAGTATACATTGACAGTGTTTTAAAACCATTAGTGGAAGTTATTCTTCCGGAGCTCTATCCTGGCGAGCTTAAGAAGATCTTCATTCATCACGATAAAGCTTCTTCACACACCGCCAAGAAAGTCGTTGACTACGCTAAGACATTCATGAAAAATTTGGGATTATACTAATTTCGAATAAAGAAATGCGCGTGAAGTCCCCCGATACGTGACCATTGAATTATTTCGGCTTCGGTTATCTAAAACAAAAGCTTTTCTCACGGCGCGCGACAACTTTGCATAGACTCTAGAAAGTTGCTCGAGCGGAGTAGAAGACGATTACCCTAGCCACGATTTCAAAACTTTTTTCAAGGATTAAATTTCAATGCAGAGCTGTTGATAAGAAAAAGGGCTTTCAGATTGACAGCACAAATCGCTCGAAAAAAATTCTTCTGTAGGGTAGTTCAAATTCTAAAAGTGGTCTTTATAAGCTGCCTCAACCTCTGTATTTGGTGAAAATTATCGTAAAGTCAACATCATCGTCATCATTGCTTTCTTTACTACATTCAGTGGTGCCTCGTGGCATAATAACGCGGTTGAGGGGATGCACAATACGCAAGTGCTTAACAGGACGTCGTATATGTTAAGGGCATAAAAGAAATCATTAAACTGTAAAAGATAGCACCCCAAGTTTAATGAAAGTAAGTATTTAACTGTTTTAACTGTTTTTTAAGTTAAATGGGATCGGCATTTTTATATAAGAAACTTGTAGAAATACCACTTTCCGTGGAGTTACCTCTGTTAACGAAGCTGATGATGGCATTGGCTCGTTTGATTGCGTCCACATCGGTTTGGTGAACGTTAAATTCACTCCAGCCCAGATTTTTCACGTGTGATGATCCTCTCCAATTTTGCCGTCTACCATGTTCTCCATTACTTAAATCCACATCCACCTCGTTTCCCATCGAGTTATAAACCTCTAGAAGAAACTGATACGCTGGAGATGCTTTATCCACGAGGTGTGGGTGCGGTATATGGTTGAAGCCCATAATGTTCAAAATATCGTACGATATCTCTCGCACATCTTTTTTGCTAAATTTTTGTGTGAGCACTGTGTGACCCTTCCCGTCGTCGACATACAAGCCACTGGGCGTCTTGGATCTCTTGGCACCTGCAGCTTCCCCATGTAAACTGATGCTTTGGATAATTAGAAATGCACTTAACACTCTGACAACACTTGACACACTCGCCATTTTCACACACTTCGAATTCCAATGCATCCTATTGTTCTGCTTGTGAAGAATGCTATAACCTGAAATCACAAGTATGAATAATATTTAATTTACAAGAATTCACTTTGACACCGAACTGAAACAACAAGCTTGTGAAACGGACTGTGTGCTGTTTTGTGTTATCCGAACTTTTAGTGAAGAATGTCTTATAGTCCAAGTCAAGCCTCTTTGTGCCTAGCTAAAAATAAATAGCACCTCAGTGTTGCCACTTACCAATATTCTTTAGGTATTCATATTCATTTTTTAATTGGTTGTGGCAACCGAGGAAGGGTCTGCTCCATACCCTTACATGTATAAGGAAAGGACCCTTCTATTTTTAGAAGGGTCCTTTCCTTCACAAAGAGATTTAACCCAAAAAGAGTTTACTTGGACTATAACAAAGTGCGGCAAAGCACTATACATAAGTACCGCAATAATGCTTAGAATGCTGAGAATGCTTCACAAAATACAACAAATAATTCACCGATTCAAATTTTAATAATGCCTAAAAACGAATTAATTAAAAACAAGCTAATTATCTTTAATTGACCACATGCTCTATACTGCGACCTCAAAATGCCGAAATTAGGGCAGGCCGACAAAATTTGTCGTCGAAACCTTAATCGCCATATTGTGACATGTCGACAACACTAAAAAACATGTTTTGCCCAAATTTCATGCAAATCGCCCAAAAAATGCAGAAATTGGGACATAGCGACGTTTTTCGACATGATTTCGACAAAGTGACCACACCCCCTTAATAGGGTGTCACCCAATAGCCGTGAAGAACATGTGTTAAAAATTTCAGGTCGCTGCAACAAACCGTTCTCGAATTTTAGTGTTGACAGACAGATGGACGGACGGACAGACAGACAGACTAACTAACCGATCGAATAAAGTAGCTTGTGCTACTTAATAATGGTCACTCCTCTGCAGTTCAACAACGCTGTGGGTCGCTTCCAAGTAAACCATTGGGATTATTAAGTAGCCCAAGCTACTTTATGCGATCGGTTAGTTAGTCTGTCCCAGAGCCCCACGCCGCCGATTTTCCGCGCCGCCGACGCCGACCCAATTTAAGGCGCCTCCGCCGCCGGGAAAAATCATCGGCGCGCCGCCGCCACAACTCATTCGGCGCGCCGCCGGAAAAAATTATTTCATACAATGAAAAAGAGTTAAAACAGTCAAAAATGTCAAGATTTTAGTTTTGACGATTTTACTTGTGGTTGAGAACACGGATATTTATCTCGCCTCCTATCACTTAGCGTACTTACTGATTTTCTACTTTTGATTGAAATAGTAGCAACGCGCTCCACACATATTTTGGTTGGATTGAGTTTAAATTTTACAACGACAACTAAAATCAGCATACCCGAAATGCTTAACTTGTCTTAATGAGCGAAGTTTAGCGTGCGAAGGAAGCCATTCAAAAATTTAAGCCAAAATTTCGAATTTTCTATAAGTGTTTTACAGTTTTTAAATTTTTACGACTGTCAAAAATCGACTACGCACATGTTTTAAATTACAAACTTGATTTTTCGAAACTATTAAAAGACCTGTCTAGCTTCTGCATTTTGGTTTTGAAAATTTTTGGGATTTAAGAAAATCCAGAAGCATGAAAAAATTCCAGCACCCTGAAAATCTTTAGCTGAAAATCAGGGATAAAAATAACGGCGCGCCGCGGCGCACCGCCGCCGCCGAGGGTTTTCACTACTCACGCCGCCGCCGCCGATATTGTCATCGGCGTGGAGCTCTGATCAGCGATGCATGCAGTCAAAGCTAGGAAGTTGGGGATCAAATCCTATAAGACGAGACCTGCACCAAAATACAGCCAAGGTCAAGATAATACAGCAAAGACCCACTGTCGCAAGTTTTTTGAAAAACGAGTCAAGCAAAAAATGCCTGTGATTCTGGTCATGGACGACGAGACCTACTGCTCGATTGATCCAGATGAAGCCCCTGGGAGAAAGTACTGCTTATTGGGACATGTAATATCGCTATTTCGAGATCTCGAAATATCGAAATCTCGGTTACAAAATATCTACAATTCGATATTATGTTTTTTTCCTAAAAACGATGAATGGGAAATACTAAATTCGCATTTATTACTGAATAAATATCCATACACAAATTTCATAAAAAATATGAAACGGCATTTTAAGAACATTTTAGAGAGCTTAAATGCACATCAAAATTTAAACATAAAAAAGTTAGGTTACGCATCCCATACACAAATTACTCCTTATAAAACGTCTCAACCAGACGTGGCAATAAATAAAACTGCTGGATTATGATTTGTGATAGATATTGTGATTTCTAAAGTAATCACTAAGGGGGATAGTTGGTTAAAATGATTTAGTAAATTTTGTTAGCCCTTGGAGGCTTAGTTAATGGATGAGATATTTTCTGCATGGCTAAAAATATGCTTACTGCAGCGTTTTAAAGGTAATTAATAAATGTTGTAAGTGTTAACCACTGGATACGTACACTAACGACCTTAAAATGTTTACTATCCTAAATGTCAATATTATTGATATTTTGTGAAGTTCAATATCTTATTCATAAATATTTAAGATTTTAATTAGTAGGAATCGTTCGCAAAGTACTAGTTAACCATCGGAACAAATTTGGTTAAGTAATTTATTGAATTCGCACGTTTTATCACATTTTTAGTTTTTTTCGATATTTCGATATTCAAATATCGATAGTGAGTATGCTCAATAACGAAATATCGAAATCGAAAAAAGTCATCGATATTCCATGCTCCACTATTAGTACTATTAGTACTGCTCATGTACTAATAGAAAAACGTTTAAAGATTCTTTCAAATTCAAGCCGAAGTCAAGATTCCCTACAAAGCACATAATCGGGCAAGAATTGGACTCATTGGGGGAGCGTTTCAAAGCCGTTCGTGACCACGGCCACCATGACCTCGGAGATACATCTGAGCAATTGTATAAAGAAGATCTTGACACCTTCTATTAAAAATCTTAATGTTCTTTTCTGGCCGGACACAGGAACATGTCATTATTTAACAGTTGTTGTGGACTACCTGAGGTTGAAAAGAATCGAATTTCATGAAAAAGGATAATGCACCCAACGTCCCTCAGGCAAGACAAATTGACAGATTTTGGGCTTCATGCAAGAGATAATATAGTTATAGAACAAAACCAGTCGAAAACTTGAGAGGATTCCGTCATATTTGGACACGGATCTCAAAATAGGTAGCGAGAAAGAGTGGCAAAGCACTTTTTGGGACTGCTGGACCAAAAATTCGCCAGATATTAAGAGGATGGGGGTGTAAGGACCGTATCAAGCAAAAAATCGAATGGTGAACCTTGCTTAAGATCCCTGAAAACTTCTTTGGAATTAATTAAGTTTTTCGGATTTTACGGGCATTATTTCAAAATTTACTTTAGTTTGTAACCACACCCTACATCAATTAAATTAACAAATTATTTACTTACCATATAAAGTAGCGAAATAAAGTAGTTTCGGTATTTCTGCTCCAATTTAAAAACAGGAACTAATTTTTTCCATATTTAACGTTTACACGTAACTTAACATCCCACAGGAAAATTATTTTTTAAGTGAATAAGTATGAATAATATTTCTGTAATGGAAATAACCCAAAACTATACGTCATCTTTTAAGCACTTTACTGGGGAGAGGTTGAAATCGTAGTGCCAAAGAAATCCCAGTGCGTTAAATGATTTAAGAAGGGGTCGTGGCCCTACGAGAAGAACCACCAAAAAGAAAGGGCCTTTTTACCTTTCTTCTGAGAAATGTGCGATAAATTTAACCGAGTTAGAACCCACGCCGCGAGTGTAGAATACTTAACTGGAGAGGTTAAAAATTCCACACGGAATTCAACCCGTACCCTTTTTACCTATATATGTGTAATCCAGGCTAATCGTGTAACATGGAAGACATGTATATATCAGGAAGTAATGGAGAATACTTATATTTAAATGTGCACTTTGTCCTATATTTTGCCATGGCACATATTATTCATACACTTACAGATAATAATGTAGCCCTTTTGAAAAAATAAGTGCACACTGAATTCTAAATTAAGTTGAGCAGTATTGTGATTTGCTGCATACAAGGGGCACGTTACGTATAGATTTATGTATGTAAATATATAGGTATATGTACATGTGGGATTTAAGATGTACTACAAAGCAGAATTGTGTACATATTTGCGCGATTTGAAATTCATATATGTATTTATCTCGTCAATTTGTTGAGATATTGACAGGTATGAATAAAAAATAGTAAATACTGCATAGTCTTGCCCATTATCGAATGGAAGGTGCCACAGAAAATTCCGCTCTTGCTTGACTTCATAATCACGTGATGCAAGTGCCGTAATCATAGCACATTTCAAGTTATTTCATAAATAAATTAAATACCTCGAGATTTATTAAATCTTGAAATTATCAACTTACCCTATCAAATTTTGTTGAACTTGAACGCTCAATTACGATTTGTTAAATCTCGAAGTATTTAATTTATTTAGTAAATATATTAGAGTAGCTAGGGCTCTATGATGGGCGTGACTAATGCTCAAGCGGCCAAATTTTGAATTTGAGCCTATAAACCCAGCCATTCGATAATGGGCAATAGCAAGCATTCTCAAAATTTTTATTCATGCAAAGGCGACTTTTTACTTGAATTTTGTGAAGCAAAAGCATTTACTCCCTTTTATGCATACCAGTCATTAACGTGAAATTTTGCAGATTCGTAGCTCAGAAAGATTTTAGTTGTATTCAGGTCCTAGTTTTGAAATGTATAAAAAGGTGAAAGGTCATGCTTTAAAAAAAGACTAACTATTGAGGCACCCCCAATAATTTTTTTCTTTGGTGGTTTTATTTTTTTCCGAGAGGTAATGCAATTCTTATCAAGTTGTCATGTCGAACTCCACCGTGTGTTTTTATTTTCGGCCACAATCAGGGTTGCGATTGGTCAGTGTACGCTATTTGATAAAAAGGCATGCCGAAAATTATGCCTTTTTACCGTAAATGCATTTTTCAATGCCGGATTGCCGTCAACCGTGCCGTAAATGCCATAAACTAAATCCATGGTAAATTTGTCAGAATCTTTTGTAATATAAAAATATTCAAAATTGACTTCCAATGTGATCGTATAAAGTGCAACCCTCGGATTTGGTTGAAATTTTGAAATTACGTGCTCTATGTCAGTAAAAGCTACGTTTCTTGAGACATTTTGTGCGATGGTAAGAATTTGGCAAAAGATTTGAGGGCAAAGTTGAAAAATATGCGATTTTTAGCATTGGAGGAGAATTGAAATTGAGTTTACTTAGTCCGGCACGTAAAAAATCGCATATATTTCAACTTTGCTCTTAAATATTTTGACAAATCCCAACCATCGCACAAACTGCCTCAAGAAACGTTTCTTGTATTGACTTGGACCACGTAAATTCAAAATTTCAGCCACGTCGGCGGGTTACACTTCACACCATCGCATTGTTAGTAAAACTTACTGACTTAAAACTAGTGATAAAGTCTCCCAATTTTATCCACGGGAATGAAACTTTCCCGACTTTTATCAACCCTTCGCGCAATTCTACCCGCTCCCGAAATGTCGAGCAGGTCGTGATTATATAAATATTTACATGCAGAAAATTAACAAGCTTAACTCTTTCTTAACAAATATCCTGAATTGTATAATCGTCCTTTCATACGTATGTATGTAAATTATAGAAACTGCATTTTTTTCTAATTTCACAGTCGTCCGTTCCGACATCCTGGACAAAATCCAAAGTTGGAACGCTACCCTGGGTAATTTTGTCTCTTGTAATTTTAACTATATAATTATTAATGTACTAAAATCTATCAAATCAAAGCTCGCAGTTAAAGTTGGCCAAGATGCTGTAGCGCATGCGATGGCTGTCGAGCACATGGCTACCGGCCTGGTCAATTCAATTCGGCGGCAAGGTCTCACCATCGTGAATCACCTCCATAGCTACGCCCTCAACCAAGTGGACCCCTTGAAGCAAAACACCAACAACGGGGTTCCCAATGTTACAAATTTTAATCTCATTGATCAAAACCTCACCACATTTATCAACTAAAGTTCCGACGGTAGCAAAACCTTGGTGAGTCGTACCCATGATGAATTAAGCGCAATTCTGTCCGCATTTGTTAGAAAAGTTCGTGTCAGTATTAAGGAAACTATGGACGAAATTGCCATCAGAATAGAAGCAAGAGAGTTAAATATCGATGAGAAACACATGGCGGCAGTCAAGGTGGAACGACTCCAACAAAGCATCCCCTCTTCTGGATTAGCAACTACGCAGAAGATTATTAACCGAAGCACTTCCCTAACCTGAGCCATATACTCGAGCACTTTAACAATTCAGCAAGAAATTACAAGTTTTCTCCTGAATGCAAAAGCTCTTGAGAGCTAAATTATTCAAAGCAGAATTCCTCAATTTTATAAAATCGTATCATTATTCAAATCTAACATTTTGATAGTTGACAAGATAAGCGAATACTGGAGTACCGACAAATGGATAATTGAGTCAAGTAGCGATGAGGAAATTCAAACTCGTTTTGACATAATTTTTGACATGAAAAAATTAAACACATAATTGTAACTCTTTTAGGAGATTAAGTTATCCATTTCTTAGTGATTTCCCATATTGATTAAGTTATTGACAGTGGTGAAATCAAATACTAAATACACAAATAAGGGGTTAAATTTACTAATTTCTAGGTACGTCATTGTTTATTGCGAATAATAACATATCTTTACTTTCAAAGAATGGTAATACAAATACAAATAAATTGTTACCAAATATAAACGATATATTTATATAGGATTTATTTATTATACGTTTTGACAAGATGGTGGGTGGACTTGATTAAATTAACTTGATTAAATTCAAAATCTATCGACATCTTGCTTCACATGAAGCAAAGCTTTACGCAGAAATTCCTCAAGAATTCTGACAAACTGTGCCGCTATCAGTGTCCAAGAGTCCGGATTTGCTTTGTATTGATCTTTATTAAGGGGTGAAACCCCTTTATAAGATTGATATGTCCGTCCGTCTGTCTATCTGTCTGTCAGTCCGTCTGTCTGTCCGCGTGATAACTCAAGGTTCAACGGTTCAACATGCATAACGGTTCAACATGTTGACTTGAAATTTGGAACATAAATAGTTCATACAAAAACAAAGGTCATGTTCGAAGATGGACACTGTAGATCACCTCATAGGTCACCAAAGGTCACTAATGTTAAATATGATGCGTATGTCAATTTGAACTGAAATTTAACCCCAAATTCAACGGTGGCATTCATTTTGACCTTTAGGAACATGAAATTATTAATTGACTGTTTGTTAACTGTAAACTGACACGAAATGTTAAATTTGAGGTATATGTCATTTAAAATGCTCAGGCTGCTGAAACAGACGATGGTTCAGAAAATATAATTTAGTACTTTGCAGACGAAACGTTACAGCTTGTGTACTTACAATGCAAGTCTTTTACATGTAAAACTCCGATTTGGATGAGACCGACACCAAAAAACCAAGCAAAGAATTAGAATCAACGTTTCTTTTGGCAGTTATTATAATGCTCAGGTTGTGACGAGATATGACCTGACGAAGTGACGAAAATCGGAGCACCCACTCCGGTGCGAGTATCATCTCACCGGTTCTCGGAATATTTTTGGCACTTTTGAATAACAGCTCCCCACACCGTGGGTGAGTTAACCCTGGCTTGGTGGCCTTTTGCATGAAATAAGTATGTGCATAAACGTACATAAGACATTTTCGTCTTACTTCTCATACCTCATCCTTGGCCTTTTGTGCGTCTTGGGTGACTTCTACGTATTTTCACAGGAAGTGGTGCTGCCAGTACCTCTCTGGCCAACCTACTAATAGCAAGTACACACAGTGGCTGCGGAACCGTGGAGACATTAGCGTTGTAGGATAAGACAGCCATCCTATACTACAACGCCAATATCCCCACGGTTCCGCAGCCACTGAGTACACATAATAATGAAATCCTCCTAATCCTCCTAATCTTGCCAAATAACTTCCACGCCGTCATGCCACGTTTCAGCACTTAAAACCGGGCTGATTTTCGCCATGGGGCAAAATACTAGAATATTTGGTCACGCAAATAATTCCCGGATTGTGGGTATTTTGAACAACACGCTTGATTTGTTTGAAACAATTTAAACAATGTACAACAGGGAAAATAATCATAATAATGAACTATACAAACGATAAATTAACATATGGTGGATGAGGTTAATACACTGGAAATTTATTGGATTTCTTTATTTACAATTTTTACTTTAACAAACATGATTTGTAAAATGTAAAATGTCTATGCAGGTAGAAGTAGATGCTGACCACGTAATTTTAAATACGCAATAGATTCGTGCAAATTTTGATACATATTACCATTTGCATATCATTCTACTCCTTAAATTCCTCTTACATCTCAGAATTCCATTATTTCTACAACTATTGATGATTTTCAATAAATTAAAATATGCCGTGTTTATTAGTAATATCACACCTGCTCTAATGGCATGGCGCACCTCAAACACAAAAACAGGTAGCGCAAGGCCTATGGCAATTCCCCAAATAATAAAAAACGTCGCAAAAGTTCCCTCAAATCC